CTACATGTATAAGGAACTTATAGCACTTGCTAGGGATAAGGAAAAATGTTATATAATTGAATAGTATATACTATATATGTATATGATAGTTTATATTCTTGTATTGTCTTTGTAATATGGATAAATATACAAGTAATGACTTTTGATAGATTAAGATTATTATTTGTACATTATGTTACAAATTTATGTAAATTATTTATATTAATATCTAGGAACTTAAAATACTTATGAGATATAATATAAAATGTCATATAAATGTACATATATGTACTTACAATAAAATAAACATAATTTATATTTGAACAGAAAATTCTAAAAAAAATTAAATTAATTTAAATATCAAACGGGTCACTTCCATACATAGAGTGAGGAAACATTGTTAATATGAAAATTGAGATATGATTGTAAATAGATCGACATTTTTGTACTCCAAATTTGCGAATAATATTCAAATTATACTTACGTATGTATTTTCGTGACTTTTTTAAAGCCATAAAAATTAATTGCCGCTTCTTCCTAGAATAGGAGTATAAAATGTTGGTTGTTAAAACAATCACTCATAGAACTCAAATGTTTCGATTAAAACGGATAGTTGTTGGAATATTATATTGGTAAAGTTTGGTTTTTAAATGAGGGTTTTTCCGTTAACAACTCCAAAGAACAATTAAAACTTTGGTTTTCGGATGAAAGCGTCTTCTCTTTAAGCAAAATAGTCAACAGGGTAAACTTTAGTATAACAAATCGCATAATCGATCGTACTTTACTAAGAAAAACTATATTTCTGGTAAAGAAAATCATTCGAAACAGCTCTCGGTTGTAAAATTCATTTAGTGTTTGAGGCTTCGACAGTCTATTATAACTATTATGATAAAACATGTTATAACGATGTGTCATAGATTATACTAACGATAAAAAATCTTAAGAAATAGATATAAATTAAATAAATTTTGCTATATTTTGTGTATTTGAATGGAAAAAAAATTATTAACAGGTGCACTAATTCACACAAGTATAATATAAATATTTTCCAGTACTAACCCAGTATGCAGTAGATACTCGTACATACAGGATAGTATACTAATTTGTTCTATATTAAAATAAAAATTGGAGAAATAAATATATATTTTTAATATAAGTCAACTTTTCAATGTTCATTAAATGCGCGTTGGTATTGGATAGAAAAAATAAATATATAATGCGAGATTTAATTGAAGTGATTTTAGTGAGTACGATAATTCAAAGCACCTTTAAAATATTTTATATCTGAAAAGAACTTGACAGAAGAATTACTGTGGGATTAACGGGACCTACATGGATAGGATCACTACACGGGGGTTGGGTCAGACGGCAGACCTTGGCCCTGGCGAGCATTGGTGATGGTCCGCGTTGGGCATGGAAACGGCTGGACAGGGAGGCTTTTCTCGAGGCGTCTATCGTAAAAGCCTGGCTGGACTTTCCAGACAGGCCAACCAACATCAACGAGGAGGCGGAGTGGTTCCGATAAAGCATGACGCACATCTGTGATGCTGGCATGCCCCGGGCTCGGCCTTTACCATCCAGACGTCAAGTATACTGGTGGTCACAGTCGATTGCGCAGTTGCGTATTGCTTGTACACAAGTGCGACGAAGATACGTGAGGTTCCGAAGAAGAAGACGCCACCGCCCCGTTACAGCGACGGCAGAACAGGTAGAGGCGGAACTATACAACCGCTATAGAGAGGCGAAAAAAGCCCTCCAGCTAGCAATTGTTCAGGCAAAGACCCAGGCCAACAAAGCGCTGCTAGAGACTCTGGATCGGGAGCCGTGGGGACGCCCCTACCTCATGGTACGAGGTAAATTGCGTCGATGGGCTCCCCCTTTATCCCGGAGTCTACAACCACAGCTTCTGGAAGAAGTGGTTTCTGCGTTGTTTCCGTCGAGATCGATGCATACACCACCGGTCATGGTCCCACCTCGTAATCTTTCCGAGGCGGAATTGGATATTGAGCGTGACGTGCCCGAAGTGACCCAGCTAGAGTTGAGAGTGGCGGTGTCCCGCATCAGGAACACCGCTCCAGGACCCGACGGCATTTCAGGCCGTGCCTGGACTTTAGCCATTAAGGCTCTTGGGCCCCGACTAGCGAGGCTCTTCACCGCCTGTCTGGAACAGGGCCAATTTCCAAGCCGGTGGAAGACTGGAAAACTGGTCTTACTTAAGAAAGAGGGGCGCCCCGCAGACACACCATCTGCGTATAGGCCAATCGTGTTGCTGGATGAAGTATGTAAGATCTTTGAGCGAATCATTGTCAGTCGCCTTGTCCAGCACATGACCAGGGTAGGACCGGATTTAGCAGACAACCAATTTGGTTTTCGCCAGGGACGCTCCACTGTGGATGCGATCATGCGCGTAAAGGCCCTCACGGAGGAGGCAGTCGCTCGGGGACAGGTGGTCTTGGCGGTGTCGCTCGACATCGCCAACGCTTTTAACACTCTGCCCTGGAATACCATCCGAGAGGCACTGCGGTACCATGCGGTGCCACGCTACCTACAGCGTATTGTCGGGGCTTACTTGTCCGAAAGGTCTGTGGTGTACCCGGTTCGAGAAGGATGGGGTCGACGAGAAACGACGTGCGGCGTTCCGCAGGGTTCGGTGTTGGGGCCGCTACTGTGGAACGTAGGTTACGACTGGGCTCTACGCGGTGTGCTTCTCCACGGTGTCAACGTCATTTGCTACGCTGATGACACGCTAGTTACAGCGCGTGGAAAGTCGTACCGCCAAGCAGACATACGTGCAACTGCTGGTGTCGCGCACGTCGTGGGCAGAATACGGCGGCTGGGCTTAGAAGTGGCATTGCACAAGTCTGAAGCCCTATATTTTCATGGGCCGAGAATGAAACCGCCTTCGGGGTCCAGCATCATTGTAGGAGGGGTGTCCATCGCTGTCGAGTCGACGATGAAGTACCTTGGAATCATCCTCGACAGTCGGTGGAACTTCGGGCCGCATTTTACACGGCTCGTCCCTAGGTTGTTGGTCACCGCATCTGCACTCTCGCGCTTGCTGCCCAACGTGGGGGGGCCCAACTCCTCGTGCCGGAGACTTTACATGGGGGTCTTACGGTCGATGGCACTATACGCCGCGCCAGTGTGGGTAGATGCCCTGACAACCCGAAACGTCGCTGCACTGCGAAGGCCGCAGCGCGTGATGGCGGTTAGGGTCATCAGAGGTTACCGTACGATCTCCTTCGAGGCAGCGAGTCTCCTAGCCGGATCCCCCCCCCTGGGACCTAGAGGCAAAACTCCTCGCAACGCTCTATCGGTGGCGCGCGGAGGTGGTCGAGAGAGGCGAACGCCTGATGCCTCGACTATTAAGAGCACGGAGGGCGGAACTCCGCCAGGTCCTAATAGCGGAGTGGCACACGCGCTTAGCGCAACCCACGGCGGGGCACGCCGTTATAGCGGCGGTAAGACCTGTTCTACAGGAGTGGCTGAACAGGAGTCACGGCGCCCTCAGCTTCCGGCTAACGCAGGTACTTACCGGACATGGATGTTTCGGGAAGTACCTGTGCCGCATAGGTCGGGAACAGACGTCCCAGTGCCGACATTGCGGTGACTGCCCCAATGACACGGCGCTGCATACATTGGCGGAATGCTCAGCTTGGGCCGAGCAGCGCCGTGACTTGGTTGCGGCGGTAGGGGTGGCAGGAAACGTGTCACTCCCGGCAGTTGTGTCAGTTATGGTGGGGAGCGAGCCAGGGTGGTGTGCCGTCGCCACCTTCTGCGAGGCAGTGATGCGCGCAAAGGAGGTAGCGGAAAGGGAAAGAGAGGTTGCCTCCTTTCTCCCCTCCCGCACTAGACGCACTGCGCGCCGTAGGGTGACCGATTTCCGGCCACCGTAGAGCGCGGCCTGTGGACGACAGATTCGGGGCATCTGTCGTCCGATAACAGCTACAGGCTTCGAGGGGAGGCGTGTAATCCACGCGCGCCTCATAGTTAAGGTTTTATGACCGGGTGACGGGGCCCGCCTGACCATCTGGCGGGTCAATGCCTGTCGGGGAGGGAGCGATGAATGCTTCGGCGATACCCACCTCTCCGGCACACGGGTAGATGAGGCACACGGGTTGGTTTTTAGTCAGTAGGAGTCTGACAGTCCCCTCCGTCCTTCCCCGAGGGCGGTGGGGCTCCATGAGGATTTTCGACACAAAAAAAAAAAAAAAAGACGGCAGACCTGAAGTTACCGTAGTTCTGGCTATGATAAGTAACGTAAGGACCTGCCCGCCGCGGTGATGGTTATATTATCCAAGATACAAAATCCCTTGCAATAATTTATAGCCTAAAAACGAATATGGTGAAACCCGCGAACAAAATGAGAATATCCAAATTTTTGTCGTTGTTTTATTTATCGAAATAGTAGTACAAAATTAAAATATAAAATTATACTGTTAAATTTTGCCGATAGTATCGTAAATTCTTAATTGACGATGTTGCCCCAGCGATGTTTATTTATTATATTAATATGTAGCACTTACGTAACAAGAAGGTTCGGATTTAACATTTGTTTTGTGCTTTCATTTAGTTTAAATTTTTATCATTGCTAGATTATTAGGAAATATTATCCCTTTAACAAGACCCTTTCATTAAGTTTTGAGGTAGTAGTAGAGGCCAGCGATATATCTACTAAAGTAAGGTCGTTTAATAAAATAATGTTTCTAAATTTACACACGAAATAAATAACATAAGAATTAATTATTAATGTATACAGCAAAGACATATAAATAGTGATAATTTAATATTGATAGAATAATTTAACCCCTTGCTGCATGAATTATGAAAGAGATGAAATAATTTTTTTTTTGGCAAAAATGTGTTTATTGTAGCTTAATTAGTGAGATCAAATCAACAAAAAAAAATATTAGCTTATAATTCAAAAGTTAGTAATCAACGCCATATGTGGCTTCGTATGCATTCTAGCCATATACGCTTCGGTCAAATATGGCTTCGTATGCATTTACGTGTAAAGTATTTTATTCCTCGTGAAATTCTTTGTAACAGTTGCGTTTGTCATTATAGCACAAATAAACATTACATTTTTCACATAATGTAAGAGAACGAAATTTAGAACAATTTTGGCATATTTGTCGGGCATTCTTCTTCCAAATCGGAAAATGGCTAATCCCATCGGTACGCACGGACGCCAAAGGCAAGTCTTGATGCCTAGCTGGCGTTTTTCGTGTCTTTTTTGCGGGAACTGGAGATTCAGGAATACGGGAGGGAGTGGCACCCCGGCTGGATGTCGGAGTTCCAACAATGCTCGATGGACGACCACGTTTTTTGGTCATAACTGCTTTTCCTGCTTTACGCAAATGTTCGGAAACGGCCAGTTTGAAATCATAAAGTGGCATGTATGAGTCAGCATTGATTCGGCGCCATAACAACCAAGCATTGACAAGTGTCATGTCCACCATGTGAAAAAAAATCCTCTTGTACCATTGACGAGACCGCAAATGGATTCTATAATAACCCAGCATAGAATCTAGTAAATCCACTCCTCCCATATGCTGGTTATAAACATCTACAGCTTGGGGTGAAGGTATGTAAACATATTCTTTATCTTGGCGAACGTAACGCCGCTTTGTTGTTGTGGGTTCACTTCCAACGTAGGCTGAAAGAAGATTCACATTCTTGTTATCGAACCAAGAAACTAAGCTCAACTTCACTTTATCTATGACTGCTACTTTTTCTGCCATGCTACCGCGTCCTCGCTTTTTTAGTTCCTTTTCAGAAGGCATGTTGGAGTTTGGAACACGATTGAGTCGCACGGTTCCTAACGGAAGTAGACCTTTTTTGTAAAGATATACTTGAAGATTTGGGCTATTGAACCAGTTGTCGAAACAAATTTTGTAATTTTGATGTTGTGGAACTGTAGATGTCAATCGTGTGACAACATTTGAACTTACGCCAAGATCTGGCGCATCTGAAGGGTAGGAATTACTTTGGTCCCCAGCAAATATATCAAAATCATAGCTAAAACCGCTAACGCCACTCAGGACTTGGTTTTTGTAACCCCATTTGTGAGGTTTAGCAGGGTTATACTGTTTTAATTCGTGACGGCATTTGGTAGGGATAATTTGTTCATCTACGGCTAAAAACTCTTCTTTAGGGACTAGCATCAAACGTTCACGAATCATATTCAATAAAGGCCGAATTTTAAATAATTTGTCATGTCCATCTTGTCCTCGAGGTACAAAATTCTCATTATTATTGAAATGTAAAAACCTTTTGATTGATTCAAATCTGTTACAAGTCATAATTTCGTAGACCTGCGTCTGTCCAACTTCTTTTGACCAGTACTTTCTGGTTGCAGGTAACTTTACGCAGGACATAAAGATTACAATTCCTATAAATTTTTCGATATCTTCGGTCGTAATCATAGCTGGTTTATTAATATTTTCTTGAATAGACTTGAGGTTAGACTGCTCCGTAATGAAATGAATAATATCAGCTGTGAACAAGAACCTGAACACATCTGCCGGAGAATCCAGTTGTTTTATAGTGTCCGGTAAGTCTGTATTACCCGTAAATTGAAAATTGTAGACGTCGTAAGCTGGCATTTTTTCTTCTTTCCAGATAACTCGTTTCTTTTTAACAGATTTTCCTTTGGCTTTAGACGTTGTTGCCGTCTGAATACTTGTCAAAGGGACGTCGTCTTCCTCAGAAAAATCTGATTCTGACTCCGGTATAATGATATGTCGTTTAGGAGTTAAACTAATGGAGCCAATATTACAATTATCGTCACAATCCGAATCAACATCATCGTCACTAATGTCACCATCACCTGGAATGATGTTTACATGCTTTGCAGTGCCATAAAAGCGTGCTGGGTCCATTTCTAGAACAAAAAAGAAAGAAGCCTTAAATGCATACCAAGCCAAATATGACAATTTTGAAAAAGTAGATAATTACGTCGAAATATGCAAAATAAAGCAAAAATCAAACATTCACCGTTTATAAGAAAGATAAAAGAATACTGTGGTATTTTTTTCAACCGTTTACTCACCTTTTTGATATGTTTTTTTTTAAATTAAAAATTACACTTTTTTCGCTGCACCTGCTCCGCCGCACGCGCTCAACATAACCTTAAAAATATTTGACAGCTGACATTTGACATGAATGAGTTAATTACATTCCGTTTCACCATGAAATTCCGGATCTGTTGTTGGTTAAATTTTAAAAATCGGACATACCAGTAGCTTGTAAAAAAAATGTAAACTTGGTCATCCATATATGGTTTCGTATGCGGTAAGGGGTTAATGCAATTATCAGATTAAGATAATTCCACTTATGTTTTAATAAAGAATGTACTTGAATATTAATTTAGCCCTAAAATATCATGGCAATTTTAATTGAAGGGTAAGTTCAAAACGAGCCGTTACAGATTATTTAAATTTAAAATATCACAATTATACAATATGAACCATTATTGTAATGAGACCAGTGGCGGCTGGTGGGTTATCGAACTGGTGGTTCACTTTACTAAAATATTGACAAAAACAACAATTGACATAAAATATGTTTATTTTTTGTACATTAAATCAATGCGACGACATTTTTCTGTAGCGAAATGTTCTATCACCTTTTTATTAAAATTTGGTATTTTTTCTATAAATTTCTTTTCAATACTAAGCACAGAAAGTGCATTTAGCCGATCCTGAGACATGGTATTTCTGAGAAAAGTTTTGATTCTTTTCAGTGTCGAAAAACATCGCTCGCTCTCTACTGAAGTCATTTGTATAGTATAGATGCTCCTTCATAACTATATCCAACTCTAATACAAAGTCTATTAATCCACGAAACACTCCAGCATAACTGGACTCAATAGTTTCATCGTGACCTCGCAAAGCTAACTCAAATGCACCACAAAACTTGACACAATCGATAAGACGTGATTAAATGTATCTGTTTTTATCAACTTGTTTATTATACTTTTGGATATTACTTCTATACACAGAATCTAGCTGATTACGAATATCGACTGTGCCTAACACAGACAAACTCATTACATTTTGTAGGTGTACTTGTGAAGAATCATGTTTTTTTTATTTTTTCACTTAAATGCGTCAAATCCTTGATTCCAGTTTCTGTCCAAATCGATTCTCCGCCAAAAATAATGCAAGGAAAACAAAAGAATGCATTAAGACGCTCACATCCACACAACCATTTCTTTCTATTATACATTTCACTTTTAAAACTTCGTATAAATGCTTTATTTTTTGATTTACACTCTTGTTTTAAATTTAAAAAGGGCCGTGGCGGCCCGGCCAATTTTATGTTCACTTTACTTTGAAAAAATTTGTTATTTTCTCTAATATAATCAATATTTATACTCATTTTCAACTAATAAAAAACACAGTACAGAATAAAAGTTCTATTATAGAAACGAAATAAAAACTAAAACAAATTACGGAAATAATTATAAACAATAACGAATTAACGCGTCACGCATACAGTGAAAGTTGAAACAATACCAATAACGATTAACGAAATGTCAATCATAGCACCCATCCTTTCGGCCGGCCCCTTGCCGGCCGGCTCAATACGTCATACATCGGGTGCTCTCGGTGACCTTCGGCCGCTTCGTGCGGCGCTCGAGAACCGACTCGTTACTCGGTACATTTCTATGAACTATCTTTTGTCTCACGCGCCAGGCGTATTGATGCGTGTCTCATACAAGATGTATTAGCAGTCCTCGTGCACTCGCCGGAGCGCACGATATGAGTTTAGTAAAGCGCTCAAACTTTTTGACCATAATTGGAAATTAAATTTTATATACCTCTTTGTATGTTTAAAAAATAAATATTAAAATGGTAATTTAAAAATTAAGATGACATAATATTTTGTAATTTTTAAATATCTTGAATTGGTGGTTCAGCGCACGGGCGCACTTAAGGTACAGCCGCCACTGAATGAGACTAATGTTGATGTTGATGGTGAGTTAGTTTCATTGCATTGGACTTTACTTCATTACATATTAACGCATATTATGCATTTCCAAATACATAGAAATACAATAATTTAAATTAATATTCGCTTAAAACTTTTTCTCAAAAAATATGAATGATCAATTTTTCATTTCGTAAACCTAAATCATTTGCATTTTATTAAAGCCGCTATGAAATTGAAAGTTTTTGGAATTGTGTGAAATAAAGCAAATGTTTACTTCTCAAAAGATATTTACAAGATATATTACCAAAGTTGTAGTATAGATATAAATTTAATGCTATTTTAAATTTTATATATTTCATTATTTTCCAAAATTAAAACAATATTTTTTTTTAATACAAAAGACTGTATTATTAAGATCTGTTCCAACATAGCAAATTAAAATAGCAAAAACAGTATGAAGTAAATTTTGTACCTCAAAACAATATTTCTTCTTCAACTATTTTAAATATCTTATAAGATAGTTACAGTTTCATATTCATTCATATTTCTTTCCAGAAATTAATCAGTAACCACGATTAAACCGTTATTAAAACATGAAAATCAATTATGTTTTGAAAGACTAGCATGATAGACAATTTAGAATCACTATGGCTACTTTTATTGTTTCTTTTTTTAATTATATCGTGAATAAATATAACTGTTTCTCGTACAAGGAGTTACGACCAGTTTTAGTTGTCAAAATGATAAAGCTATTGGTAAACGTTATTTTCTTTCTGAAAAATAATAATTAGTCATTGTTATTATTATTGTATTAAAAATTCCGGATATTCTTGTAATTTTTGTTAATGATTTGCGTAGGAACAATCAAAGCGATAAAATATTCTAGTGTCAAAACACGTAAAAATAGACGAGGATTTATTTGAGACGTCAAGCATATTATCATCTTTTCCTATTTAAATAATAATATTGTCACAAATATTTCAAAACCATCTTAATATAGCAACAAAAACAAAAAAAACAATAAAAAATTAATAATAAATGTCTTAAAAATTCTGAGGTTATTTATTATCACTAAATGTCAAACATATGAAATTTCTATTAAACTTTGAATTTGACATAATAATTTAATCACAATAAACTATCGATAGTTCATTTATATCTTGATTTATAAAAAAACATATCTAGTGTTATAAACACTGGATCGTGGGAGTGTAAATAAATGTAGAAAAAAATATATTTTCATATATCGCCATTAAAAAGTTTGCTGATCCAAAACAAGCTAATACTGTAAAAATTAAAACGTTACATAAAAACGTAAAGTCAATTATGTATTCAGTAGCATTGTTTTAGAATGTGGTCAAAACTTTCAATTCCAATTAGTTCTACAAACTCAATTAAAGATTAAACCTCAATCCCTAGCCAACTTTAGTTTAGCCAACAGTAAGTGCTTAACACAGTAAGAGAATTGCTTGAACATAGGTACCTAACAAACATGTATATTAGGTAACAAATGTTATAAAAACTATATTTTTCTACTTTATGTACATTTATTTTTTTATTAATTTTTTTTCTAATACGTAGAACATAATTCATAACTCCTTTTAGATTTATTTGGCGTTGTACATAGGTGTACAACTTGGCTTCCGCCGTTTTGCAATAGATGGTTGTAGCGGTAAGTGGTAGTCGAAATAAATAGATCGTAGATGTCATACAATAAGCTTAGGCATTTGTAAACATAACGTCATCGAAATATTAGTCGATTTGTGTCTGCATCATAAAGTTATTCTCGATTAAACATGTCAGCTTACGAGCCAAATTCTCGTCATTTGCGGGAGGTTTTAATTTTCTGCTTTAATATGAAGAAATCTGCGGCTGAGGCTCATCGAATGCTCTCAAATACCTATGGTGAGGCTGCTACTAGTAAAAGAACGTGCCGAGAGTGGTTTCAACGCTTCAAGAACGGTGATTTTGACGTCGAAGACCGGCATGGCGGTGGAAGAGAGAAGGTTTATGAAGATGCAGAATTGGAGGCATTACTTGATCAAGACTCGTGTCAAACGCAACAAGAATTGGCAGGATCATTGGGAGTGACGCAACAAGCCATTTCAAAACGCCTGAAAGTCATGGGAATGATTCAGAAACAAGGAAATTGGGTGCCGTACGAGTTGAAGCTGAGAGATGTTGAACGGCGTTTGTTTGCTTGTGAATAGCTGCTTGCAAGGCAAAGACGGAAAGGATTTCTGCATCGCATTGTGACTGGGAACGAAAAATGGGTTCATTGCGTTAATCCCAAGCGCAGAAAATTATGGGGATATCCCGGCCATGCTTCCACGTCGATGGCCAAACCGAATATTCACGGTTCCAAGGTATGCTCTGTATTTGGTAGGACCAGCTCGGCGTAGTGCATTATGAGTTGTTAAAACCGACTGAAACAATCACAGGCGATAGTTATCGAACGTAATTAATGCGTTTGAGCCGAGCATTGAAAGACAAACGGCCGCAATACAACGAGATACATGATAAAGTGATTTTACAGCACGACAATGTTCGACCCCATGTTACGAAAGTGGTCAAGACATACTTGGAAACGTTGAAATGGGAAGTCCTACCCCACCCGCTGTATTCTCCAGACGTTGCTCCCTCGGACTATCACTTGTTTCGATCAATGGCACACGGCCTGGCTGACCAGCACTTCCGGTCTTATGAAGAAGTTAAAAATTGGATCTATTTGTGGATCGCTTCAAAAGATGACCAGTTTTTTCAACGCGGGTTTCGTATGTTGCCCGAAAGATGGGAGAAAGTAGTGGCCAGCGATGGACAATACTTTGAATCATAAATGTATAACCAGTTTTTTACAATAAAGCCTCGAATTTCGGAAAAAAACGTCGGAAGCAAAGTTGTACACCTAATAACAATAGGATCTTTCATTAGACGCACTTCACCTCGTGTACTGATAAGTTTGTACTAATCCAGATTTTGGAAACTTAATTACAATAATTTCTACAAAGACTTTTTAAATAATTAAAAAAAATATGGTTATGGTTTCATGAAAAACTTTCGCTGATTTTTGTAATTAAAATTACCTACTTGTTCGCCAGGGTTTTATTGCATTATCAAAGTGCATATATATATATATATATATATATATATATATATATATATATATATATATATATATATATATATAAAACTGAAGAACACCAACAACAAACAATAAATATTTTTCATTAAAAGGAAACGTCAAACCTCAAAAGGAAACGTTTTAAAAAAATTATATACTCAAGGAATTTCGCTTCCGCACCTTTAAAATACAAGCTTATTTCTAGGTCATAATAACTTTGCAAATCGTCTTTCCGTTCACACATACGTTCCAACATTCTCACATGTTCAGCTTTCATCGATTATCTGATTGTCTGGAAACATGAACCAACCATTTCCACTTGAGCGTTGTCGGTGACTTTCGTTTTCTAGTGTTGAAGTTAATTTGAAGCATACATTTAATGAATTAGATACCGATATTGAAATTATGACTAGTAATGTGTTGAGGGTCAAGGTTTTCGCTAGGTAAGTTAGGACTGGTATAAATTCTTGTCTTGAGAGATTGTAGGGTCTCACGGTTTATGAATATGGTACAGCTTTCCAAACGCCGCCCAGTTTCAACGTAATCTTTTGATGAAAGATGTGCTTATTCAACTTTAGAAAAGCAGAATCATGAAAGTATCGACGGCTTTTCCATTAACTACAAAAGGATGAAAAAGACGTTTATTTCTTATATCAGCTTCATAATAAATAATAATCTCTGCATACCAGGTTCCCTTTGTAATTTTTTTGCAACAATACGTAGCAGACCTCGTTATTTAGTATTTATTTTAGTTCGTTAGCTTAACGCATTCCAAATAGTCAAAAGAATCATAAAATTCAACGGTATGGGTCTCGTTTCAGAAATATTCATTTGATATCTTAACTAAAAAGAAAGGGCTATAGATTTAAAATATTAGAAAACTCAAAAAGTCATGTTAAGTTTCAGAATATATTGTCACCTTGAATGTGTTTCAATATTTTTTTATTATTTTATATTGCCTAGGTATAGTTATAAAATAAAATTTGACCTATAAAGGGAGTGCTAAGAATAACGAGTTCTTATTCAAAATTCAGTAGAAAGAAAATTTGTATAAGAAAAATACGGTACGCCTTTGAGTTTTAAGCCCGATATTAATAAATTTTTCGATGTAAAAATACAATTCAAATATTTGCCTCTACACTCTATCGATATGAAAGTTATACTGAAAAATTTTATGAAATTAAGTTACCGATATAAACTCGTTACTCAACTTAAAAACTAATAAAACACATGGAGTTGGTATTGGCAATATTTCAAATACGTTATCTATTTTGCTTAAGTATTCTAATGAGCTAACAGTGGAATTGCCATAACGGAGTGATTTTAATTAACGACGGTTTCAAAAACAGTTCAATTGAATGAAGTAATTTAAGAACTAAAAACATATTCTGTATAAAATAGGCTAGAATATATATGTTAATACACTAAAAACTTTTCTTGAAACAGAAACACCAAAGCCCGTGACTATTTATGAAACTAATCACTAAAAATCCCTACATGAATAAATGTAACTGTTTTAAAATAAAAAAGGATATTGTCCAATATAAATAAAACTTATATATATAACATATATGGTGTTTCGTATTAAGTTTGAAATTACTTATCGCATTCAAACCAGGAATAAGTTATACGAGTACCTTTGTTGCGAATAATTACCTACATTTTAGTGGCGTTACGAGAGACTACTGGAGCTGTCTTGAGGAGGCTTGCTTACACCGAAATTGGAAGAAAACAATCTTTAATTTTAAAACTAGTTAAATTCAGCCGTATTTGTGCAAATTATCCGTATATTGATATATGTAGGAACCTAAAGTGAAAATCAATCTCTTCTCTTAGAAATCATAAAAATAACAGATATAAATCAATCTTACTTATATCTTAATATCAAATGACATCTAGTACATCATTTTATATGACATAGTTTATATGCTTATTTCTGCTTCTGATGACAAACGTATAAATGATATTCATTGAAACGGCCAAAGAACTTTAACTCAAATATCAAACAATTAAAACATTGTCTTTAATTTTTTAAGCTTTAAAAGATGCAATTTTTTCTCTCAATTTTATGATCAAAGATAATCAGAAGTCTATTCAAAATAAACTGTATCAATAAGTATGTTTGCTTGCTCGCTTATTATATGACTTTGATTTATTTCAAGCCTATAAATTTGGTTGTATCTTTTAAAGTAATTAAAGTAAATTCATACAAAACCAAAAAAGTACACTGTCATATTGTGCTATATAGCATTTTCCATTTTCAATGACAACGACAAATCCTTGCAGTTTTAAAAGTTGTGACCTAAATTTTAACAATAGTTTCCAAGAATTCAGTGGTTTCAGGCATTTTATCTAAACTGACGATATATGCTACTCGTCAGTTCTCTTGCCATAAATAATCCACTATATATTTCGAAGAGGTCAATGAAAGCTTTGTATTTAAATTATTTAGCTAGACAGACAACTATAAAAGATATCATAATTTTCTCTTACTATTTCTGTACAGAACATTATGACTTTATATGTATAAACTGACAAAACAAACATCCGTTAATAAGTTCACAAAGCTAGAAACTTATCTTTGAAACGAAATTATTCTCAGTGAACGTTTTGTATTAAATTTATTTTATTTGTTATTAAATTAAATGTTTTATATTAAATGTTTCATTGCAGAATTTAAAAATAAACCATAAAATTTTACGACACTTAATGATTTCTTCTTAATAATAACTTAGATTTCATGGGTTATGGTAACTACTAATTAAGAAAGTCTCGTCTGCAATTACAATGCAATGTCGAAACATCATTAGAATTATATTAGTAGTTTAATAGAATGCAAAATGCCAACTATAACCTTATCTATAATAAATCACTGATACCTGAGGATTTGTCATATCGATTGACCTACTTCTAATGTCACCACACGTTTTCACCTTTGTAAAACTTTTACTACAGTTATAGAGCTTTTTATGTAATATCATAATATCGTCATAGTTTTAATTCGTTATATCGCTTTTAAAGTCAATTGTGTGCGTCGGTGAATGTGAAATTTAACACAGGCCAGGCGAAACGTCAAACAAATAAATTATAATTTGGACCTATTGTCTATCTTGAAATAATAAAAGATTACCTATGGTCGTCTATATATAGAATTAATTAAACTTTTATTGATAATTTTTAGTTAAACGGAATTCAATATCTTATTTAAACATATGTACCTTTAAAAACCTTCAACAATGTAATTAATTACTTGTAATTTATGCATTGTCAATATTACTCACACCAATAAATCCTTACGTGTAATTAAAACGAGACAATATAATATTTACTAAAAAAGACAGCTTACCAACGATAGTACCAAAGTTTGTGCAAAGAAATAGTAGCAATGTTGATTTGTTAATTATTTTCTTATTTATTGATTTATAGTTGTTTGCAGCTATTAATATAATTTTATTTCCGATTAGTTCTGTTGTAATATTATAATTAACCTTTTAATATTAATTCTTGTAGAAGTTTAAATAGTTGGTAACTATCTAGCTTACAATTGAGAATTCAAATTGATAAGGTTTTTTTTCTAGCTTTATGTTTTCATAGATATTTCTAGAATATAATAAATTGATAACACTTACCATTTTATATTTAATTAATCAAGTTATTTATAATGTATATTAGGAAATACTTTATACAAAAAATGTTATTACCAAGTTAAGGTGAAGCTGAATCAAATATTAAGAGTTCACAAATTAGTGTGTATTTAAGGACACAATTAGGAATTTCCATTCACGACTAAACAATGAATATGTAATAAATAACAAAAGGAAAAACAAACTGTCACTTATTGTAAATAGTTTTAATAAATTTGTATCTGCTTGATCATAATTTGTTTTGAGGACAGAACAATCAATCACAGCAAACGACGAAGACAAATTATAAAGACGTGTAACAAAGACTTTTTAATGAATAATTAAATTAAACCATTAAGACCTTTAAGACTAAAAGAAAATATCAACAATTCATAAATTTACACAAAATAACATAGAATAAAAGGCAGTTGGAACTGCTAAGCATTTGCTGGTGGGATGTAAGGTTCTTCTGGACAGCGGTCAATACTCGCGTCGTCACGATAGGGTTATTGAGATCATACGTGAAGCGGTTAGTCTCTCGGTAGCCAGAGCGCAAAGGGAAATAACCACAAACGAGCGATCAATAGGTTTTGTGAGAGAGGGCACTAGGGCTATAAAATCAAACGTCAAGCCTTACTCTATCCTTAAAGCGGCTTCGGATTGGAATATCATGATGGATACGTATGAGAAACAATACAAAATCCCCGAGGATATTTGTGCGTCGGCCTCCAGATCAGACTTATTTCTATATTCGCGTATTTTAAAGCGCGTTGTGATGATAGAGCTTACGTTGCCTTGGGAAACCAACATCCCCAAAGACCATACCATCAAAGTCAATAAGTATTACGAGCTCACTAACGAACTAACTCGAAATAGGTTCGTCGTTGATTTGTACGCGGTAGAGGTGGGAGCGAGAGGTATAACAGCTAAATCTCTCTATAACCTACTAAAAGACTTGGGCCTGTCCAGAACTAACATTAATTCATTCTTGGAACGTACGTCGAAGGCAGCCCTAGTAGGTTCTTTTCAAATTTGGTTAGGTAGAGAGAGGAGCTTGGACAGTGGAGGTGAGCGTATAACGCGCGTTAGTTAAGGGGCCCCTTAAACCTACACCTGGGTCGCAAGTCCCAGGCACTGTTGAAGCTCCTCTCTCTGCAACGCAATGGACCCGGCACCCACACGGTGAATCCATTGAATGCTAAGAGGTTTCGTCTCTATTCCGTATCATAAGCAAATCAGTGCAATATTTTGAATTTTTCATTAAGAGAGCTACATTAATTTAGGCTTGAAGATTTCAGGGGTCTTTTGGAATACATAAAGTTATTGTTTAGTAAATAAAATTGGTAAGTTTTGTAAATATTATAGTTTGCGATAAAATAACAATATAAAGCATTGCACCTGAATTTATTTATTAACATAATTTAAAATAGATATGTGTTGAAAAGTTATTTGATTTAATTCAAACTTCTGTTTTTTGAGTTTTAAAATAAAAAATGAATAGCGAAAGTACCGAAATGGGTAAGAATTTTGAAATTAATGTATCTAACGTCATATAATATAGAATTTTTGAAAAGTAGTATATATGGCGACGCATGTATGCAAGCAAGGTTCAAGAAAACTAAATCGTGGTAACATTATTTTATTTCATATTTGTTTAGTCACTTTGGTGGGTGTAAAATATTCAGAATATAGGATGATGAATTATTTAAATGTATAGAGATAAAAACCAACAACGAGAAAAGATTTATTGAAGAAATATTCCTCTTTACTTAAAAATTATGTTCATTTAGGAGTGGAGGAAATTGAAATATAGTTATCCTCCTCCTCCTCCTTGCGTCGTTTTCCTCAATGCTGAGTGTCGTGAGCTCGCATGAACGTTTACATGCAGACAATCCTGTGCCACCCGTGTCTATGAGAGTGTAACGCCTCGTGGACAGTGGACACGAGGGCGGATCGGACCTGGTCGGACCAACGCATCGGATTACGCCCTCTGCGTCTCCTTCCTCGGCCTTGCCAGTTACCATGAACTTTGTATTATAGTAATCAAAGGAAATAGATTCTATGTATGGCTTTTGGTTAATTTGTAATATAATGGTAATTTGATTGAATTTAAGTTTAAAATTGTCATTTAAGTCTACTTCTCTCTCTTGGTATTGCATTTCTAATAATCTCAGGACGTAATTATATTCCTGAATGCTCAAGAATTTTTATCGAGAATCATGAAAACAAAAATAATTTAAATCGGAATATGTATATTATATGTTCAATGACTTATTTTATTTACATTTAAAAAATAGTTATTTTCTGAAAACTTTCCAATTTAATGATTAATGCGTGGTAATAAAAAACGAGTCTCTAATCCTGGGCTTTATTTCAGGAATTATATTCATTGAAAAACTATAATTTAAACAAAAGCAATTGGTTCCACGCTTGATATGAATTACTATAGTAACTTCGTTATTTTTTCTTTATGGAATTAATTCTGAAATTATGAATTTTATTAGTATTTAAAATACTATTGGTATGAGGGAAAATTATTAGAGAGAAGTGAATTCTATATTTGTAATTTACCCCAATGATATGAATAAAGAAGAAGAAGATATGTATAAAAAAGAAGTAGACAATATATTTAGTATGAGAATATATATGAACATAATTAAAAATGAAAATAATTTTTTTAGACCTAAATTCAGATAAAGAGTTCCCATGTGACATGAAGTTTGTTACAATTAATAAGGCCCACATAAAAAAATGGACGAAATGAAAGTTTGAAACAATAGCCAATAAGAATAAAATGCGTTTTTTTTTTAAGTAAAATCATGCTATTTGAAAGAGTACACGTAAAATTTTTACGTGAACCATGTGATTTAAAAAAAAGTATACCTACAACCATTTGTTACATGTAAAAGTTTATACCACGACTATAACAAATTTACAAAAGTAAATTTTAACACATTAGTATATTCACATTGTTATTCTTCACCATAACACATATCGTTTAAACCCTTAATATTATTTTGATAAGTATTTCTAGAAAAGGCATTAAATTAACGAAATAACTACAGACAGCTTCTTTACCTACCATAAGGTAAGAGAAAATAAAATAATGACTATCTTAATAAATAAGCATAAAATATTTATTTATTACAACAATTATGTTTCCCTCTACAATCGCACAGTTACAAATAAGACGAAGATATAAAGATATTTAAATTATACTTACCAGAGAAAAATAAGAGTGATTTTTTTTATGCCGGTACTTTCAAAGAAACAAAGAAAAATTTGCAATTTTATTGTTGGTTTCTAATTTGAACTCTAACCACTATATATATTTCTAGATAGCTAGCACACTTTTCGTTTTTTTTCTCTAATTGGTTTTTTAAAAAAAATTAAAATGGCTTTGAATTGCAAGTGGAAATGCTTTATAAATGCTTAGATTCTCTAAATTTCTCAGAAGCAGTATGTATGTATAATTAACACGTTATTGAGAAAAACTAACAATAAGAAAATTTAAAATATGGGAAAAATGATTTTAAATGATATGTATTCAAAAAGTATGTCTACTTAAATAACAAATCAGCATGTCCACTTACATAAGAAATAATAAGTTAATTATATGAAACAATACTTGGGACGAACTGCGTTATTGCATACTTGAAATTTTGTTTTTCCAAGAGTATTTTTTTAATTAAAATAAATTATTTTGACATATATTTTTTCAAATCTATTCAGATGTACATCACAGAATGTATTTTTCATATATAGGAATGATCTAGATTCTAGAGTAACAATTGAGTGAGGATAATGAATAATAGTTTCGATATAGTCCTATTCTGTTTCTCTGAATAAACATTTTTCTTGTGAGGTTTTCTTAAAAGTCTTTTAAAATTTGAAGTATAATTGATGTGCCTAGTGAGATAACTTATTTAAAGACACTACGGACTTAGTTATAAAATCCCAAGCAAGATTCGATTCAAATATTTAACGGCCACTTTCTTTGTTTGCTTTTTAAAAAACTATAAAATGTCGGGCTTATGATGTTTACTATTTTGGTTATTATGTATTAAGATTTTATTTATATTTATATTTCGTAGTATATATAAAGAAAGTGATACTTGTATATTTTTCAGTGATGTGATAATTATTTAATGGAAAAATCTTTAAAAAAGGTGCTTAAAATAAAGCCTATCTAAAGACTATTCAAATTCACCACCATCGCTTGATTTATAACCTATGGTTGCTAACTACTAATTGATTTTAATTCCTGTATGCTCGAACTTTATTTTCATTAGGTTACCAGAATTTCATTTAAGTCAGTCCAAATTTCTTCTAATATTATTTAGGTGCAGCCTTTATCTGCATTTATATTAGATTTTCTAGGGCCTCAATTTCAATTAAGTTATAAAAAAAATTATCATTTCTTTGTTTTTGTTGCTTGTTATGTTGTTATTATTTTTATTTTGCGCTATTTATATTACAATACTTGAAACATTAAATTTGTAAGCGTTAGTTTTAATAATTTTATTATACACTGGTATGTAGAGTTTTGTCTTTTATTATAATGGAAATATGAAACGTGCATTTTGAGTGTGTCACACAAACCGTGAGCACATTCTGCCGGCATCCAGAGCGGTACGCCATAAAATTAAGAAATTGATGGCGGTAGGTGATAACATAACAAGACCGACTGACAGACACTCACATCGCGTGTGCCCGTGATCACGGTTGCTGTAAAGTAACCCAAACGTTGGGAGTATGTAGTTAATAATCAAAAATAAATATCGCGTAGTAAATCCGAAAATATTAGTTTCATTTAAATGAATACTCGCGAAAATCTTAGATCTCACTGTTTCATTAAAATTCTCTTGTAATTTGTCCCAATTTACCTTTTAATAATAGTAAATAATATATCATATCATCTTTTATTAATAAATACAATATAATCATCTTATTGTTAAAACGATTGGCGAATAGTTTAAAATCATAAGAATTTTTAAATTTTTTGCACTCGATATCACTCAAGAAGTTATTTTATTTATGGGTCAACAAAAATTCCAGCTTTGCTTCTGACAGCTTTGAAAAAGTTTTCTGAAAATGTGAAGCCTCAAATATTTTAGCTTTGTGACGAATTTTGCTTCATAAGGCCAATTTTGTTATAGAAGGGTGGCATGCTTGAAGCTCGTACCTATAATTAAAATTAAAAACCCGGATATCACAATTGATACTTGAGAGTCGTTAGTTAACAGTAGTTTAGAATGTCCTACTTATTTCTTGGTCTTTTAAACTGTACAAATATTATATAACGTAAGTTTTTGATGTTAAATCACTGTTTTTTCTGTTATTATTGTATTGTATGTGATTGAATTGAATTTTAACCTCGATATTATTTATCTTATTCCAAGTGTCACAAGCTAACTAGGGGCCGTTCAAGTATAACGTAAGCAGATTTATTACAAATATTTACCCCCCCACCCCCCTTGTCAGCAAAAGTAAGCAAAGCTCTCACCCCCTCCCCCCATGCTTACGTAAACATTTTCAATTACTGTATTGTTTTTTTAAATATAAATTCATAAAAAAATTATAATTATATTTTTTCATGGATCTTCTCGATGTGACGATTAAAAAGTAAATAACTACCGATGACGTAATCATCACCTAGACTCCCCTACCCCTCATGTCATCCAAAATAAGCAAAACAAAGACCCCCCGCCCCTCTATAGTGCTTACGTAATACTTGAACGGCCCCCCTATAAGTAAAAAAACCTTAGAAAGGAACTGCTAGAAAGGTTCCAATAAGTTAATACAAGTAGGCATTTCTAACTTATACATATATTTTAGTACTACCGGAACAAACGGACAGACAGACAAAATTATAAAAACGATATTTTAGTGAATATACCCTATGTATATATAATCGTACGTATGTAGTAAAGAAGTGTTACTTCAATATTACTATCAGAAAATTCAATTGTATTAATATGTATTGATAAGATACTTATAAAAAACATATGTTATAAAAGTATTGATAATATTCATGATGATACTAATCAGTTCGAAAAATGGCGTATTCATAGCTTTGATACGTTTTAAAGA